CGTGGGCGACAGCGGCAGCGGGGAGACCGGGGGCGAGGGGCTGCGGGGCTCGGCGGGCGGCGCCAGGCCCAGGACTTCCTGCACGTTGTGGGGCAGCTCCTGGGGACAGACGGGGATCAGAGACGCCTCGGCGTGGGGGCGTCGGGGCGGGCTGCGGGGAGAGGCCGCGACTCACGGGGCAGGCGGTGAGCTGCCGGTACAGCGCCTCGGCGCGCGTCAGCACGTCCTCCACGCTCAGCTTCATGGTCAGCTCGTTGATGTGCTGCGGGAGGGGAGGGGGGACGGAGGGTGCGACGGTGCGTCAGCCACGTATAGGCCAGGGGACAAGGGGCCATCCCACCCTGGTGTCGCTCACAGCGACCAGTAGTGCTAGCTCCAGCACCCTCGGCCAGTGTGGGGGTGGCAAGGAGCTCACCTTAAGGATCTCGTTGGAGCCGAAGCCCGACAGCATGAGGGTGTCCCGCTCCATGTCCAGGATGGCGCAGGCCACCAGCAGGTGCAGATTAGGCCCGGGAAGCCCCGTCCACAGCACCTGGGGTGCCAGAAGGAATCTGTCCACAGTGCCCCCAAATCTGCCCCCTCCAGCCGCGCCCCTTTGTCCTTCTCTAGCCCTCCCCCACCACAATTGATGCCCACCTCCCACAGCCGGAGGATGTCCGGGAAGGGGAACTCCCTCTTGAACCAGATGAGCAGCCACCGGAAGCAGAAGCAGAGGGAGCCAGAATCCTGGGAGTCTGAGGGAAACAAGGCAATTCAGCAGCTCGGCCCACAACAGGGCACCCCCGGTTCTCAGCCTCTGAGAAGTGACCCGCCTGGTGCAGGCAGCCCTGGAACCTAGGACGGGGGCTCCTGAGGTTGCATGGTGCCCTCACTCCCATCCTGCCTGCCACACTCCCCTCCAAGAGTGCAACCCCCCTCCTCCTGCCCAGATGCCCAGGGGTGCACGACCAAAACCAGCAACACAGAACCGCAGCCCCCTGTACAGCTGGAATGCAGCAGCCCCAGGGAGCCAGGATGGGAGGGGTGGCAGGGAGCCAGGATATATGTATGTATGTATGTATGTATGTGTGTGTGTGTGTGTGTGTGTGTGTGTACTACATCCCCAGCCCTTTATAATTTTTATTTTATTTTGAAACAGGGTCTCTGAGTCATTACATTGTCCAGCCTGGCCTGAACTTGTGATCCTCCTGCCTCAGCTTCCCAGAGTGTCTGGGATTACAGGCACGCACCGATTACAAGCAAGCTTCCATCTTGAAGGTGAGAAGGTGCTCAGTGGAGAAAAACGGTAGGACCCACATCCAGGTCCTTGTTCCTAAAAAGCACTCAGCAGGTTAAGCCTGTTCAATCCATCCTGGGATGGGGGCAACCAGGGGTGGCTGGCCTGGCACACAGCGGGTCACAGCACCAGGACACACGCGTCTGCTGAGGCGGCTCTAAACTGCCCCTCGGCTTTACACTTCCAGTTAGGTTCTGGTTCACACAGCGTGTTTCTCTGGTCTGGATCAGGACTCAGGGCCCCAGACACCCTCTGCAGCTACCAGCAGAGGAGCTGTGGCACGTCTGTGGCCCTGCCGCCCCCCACCCAGTGGCCCTTGGGACATACCCAGGAAGTCGCACAGCGGCTGGTCCAGCACCTTTAGCAGCAGCAGCAGCTGCCCCAGCTGCCGCTTCATGGTCTCCTGACTCTCCTCAAAGTTGCCGTGCTGCAGGGTGCGAAGGAGGTTCGTGTGAGGAGCCAGGAGCCCCAGTGCCACAAGGACCCCACCTCCACCTCCACCTCCCCCCGCGCCTCACCACGAGCTCCATGAAGCCGCAGAAACACCAGAAGGCGTCCACCTCATTCTGAATGACGTAGAGGATCGGGGAGAGAAGATCACTCATGCCCTGGACATAGCCTGGGGGGACACAGGGTCAGGCCCTGTGCAGGCCCTTGGGGGGCCCCACCCGGCCCTCCCGGCCCGTCGCCGCACCGAGGTCGAAGTGGAACATGCAGTAGGTGAGCAGGATGTCATTCAGCAGGCCCAGCCCGGGGTTCTCAGGGCCCTCGTAGAACTTGTTGGTCCTGTCAGTGCGGCTCACGTCTCTCTCTGCAGGGATGAGGGCGGCGCAGGGGGCAAACGTGAGAAAGGCACAGGGCCCCGCCGGTCACCAGCACCAGCCCTGGGCTCCCGGGCTCACTCTGCAGGCAGGAGCCATTACCAGCCCTCCTGCCGTGAGGCCCCAGGCTTCCCCTCAGCCTACCATAGCCCCCAGCCATTCCTGCCTCTGCACACCCCACTGGCTCCCCAGGTGACCCCCACCCGACACCCACCAATGAGGCTGCGGTATCCGTGCAGGAGTGAGTTCCTCCGCTCCTGCTCAGGGCTCACAGACTTCCACTGTAGCTTCATGCGGAAATACTCATCCCTGTGGGCGGAAGATCGCAGGGAGCACCAGAGAGCAAGTACCTTACCCGGTCTCTCCCCAGGACTCTGCCCTGACCACACAGATGCAAGCCAGCCACCACATCATTCTCATTACCACCCCTTCCACTCCCCGCTGCTGACACCCCGCCACACAACGCAACCACGTGTTTTTGCTTTTGTGTTTTTGTTTTGTTTTGAGACAAGGTCACACTTTATAGTTCAGGCTGGCCTCAAACTCTCAGCAATCCTCCTGCCTCAGCCTCCCCAGACCTGAGATTACAGGTGTGTATCACTGCGCTCAGATTGTGTGGGTTTCTAGTGAGAGTCTGTCACCCCTGCTGGATGAAGCATGTCAGGGACTGGGTAAAGTTGGGCCCTGCAGCCAGGAGTGTAACAAGTGCTCTCTCTGAGGGTCCCTGAGAGGGTCGAGGCAGGGGCCTCACAGGGCAGCGGCATCCTGGGAATGCAGGGGCCACGTCTTCCCACTCACGTTTTCTTGCGTACGTGGGCCTTGTGCTCCTCGAATGAGCCTTCCCAGCTGAGGTAGCCCAGGAGGAACTTCCAGGCCTCACGCCGCAGGCCGGGGCTCAGACCCTGGAGTGGAACAGGTCGAGCAGCTTAGCAAGCCTAACCACTGCCCACCAGCCCAGCCCAGCCCCCGCCCCTGCCCCTGCCCCTGCCCCTGCCCCGCTGGTGCTCACCCCGGAGAAGATCCGGTTCTTCAACTCGGGGACCTGCTGCAGGCGGCCTTCAGGGCCCACGTGCCGGGCCCACTCCTCCTCTGTGACCGGAGGGGCCCGCTCCACAGCTGGCCGTGGCCCCAGCTCCACCTGTGGACACAGGGTGGCTGAGCCCAAGTTTACTAAGTGTGGCCCCAAACCTGTCTTGGAGCTGAACAGGGACCATTGACACTCAGGAGTAGGAAGTAGCAGTCACCCCCCAGCCAGCCAGGTGCACCGGTGCCTGGCACAACCTCATGAGCTTGCCCAGAGTCACTCCTGATGCGGCCCACAAGGGCCACGCTGCTGTCCTCACGTTACTAATGTGGAGACGGAGGCCCAGGGAAATGAGGGCCCTTGCCCAGGTAACACGGCCAGAAAGTCAGAGGGAGGGTCCGCTTGACACTCACACAGGAGATGACCTCAAAGCCAGGCTCATCATCGGGAGGGGGACGAAGGTCAGGGGAGGTGGCTCCCTCAGGGTGCGGCTGCAGGGCTCCCCGGAAGAAGTTGGTCACTCGGGAGAAGCTGCTGAAGGTGGTGGAGTAGGGGTCTTGGAGGAAGCGCTGGGAACAGGCATGAAGGTTGTCACCGCTGCCCCCTCAGGTCTCACCCTGCCCGACACCCGCCCCGCCAGGCCCGGTGTCGCGGACTCACAGAGACCACATTGGAGCTGTCCTGGTCGAAGAGCTGCAGGTGGTGGAAGGAGTTGGAGAGGGCAGAGGAGTCGTGGGGAAAGACAAGGTAGAGGCGGGAGTCCTGCGGGGAGCTGGGAGGTGGGAGGGGACACGCAGGTGACACACAGGTGGAGAGCAGTGTCGGGGGCTGCCCACACCGTATTTGTTCCGGTAGCAGTGTTCTACCTGCTTCTGGGGAAGCCCTCATCTCTTGTGTTATTGCTCGGAGACCAGCGCTGGGCCTCAGGGGTGGGCCCATGACCCAGGCTGGCCAATGAGAGCCCTCCACTTTCCTGGCCAGGGTGACTGATCCAAAGATAAACCAATGAAAGACATCCCCAGGATTTTGTAGAAATTGTGGGCAAATGATGTTTTCTATCCTTTGGGGTTGCTAAGCCAAGGCTGCTAGTAGTCCCAGAGAATGACAAGCACCCAAGGCGAAATAAGCAACTCTTTCTAACACCTTGAGCCTGGGGTCTGCAAAACCACTTTTTGGGACTTCTCAGTTACATGTGCCAGTTGCTTCCTTTCCTCTTCCTCTGCAGTTACGTTTCTTTGGCGGCCCTGAGGGGTCAGGCCTGGGAGCAGGCTCACCTGGCCAGGAGCAGGTAGCGGCTGAGGACTCGGAGAAGGGCTCGGGTGCCTCCACGGTGGAAGTGCAGGGCGGGCAGGGAGCCCCCGGCCTGGGTCACCAGAACCAGGTAGGCCCAGCTGAGGCCCGGCTTAGACCGGCGGATGGACTTGAGCTCCCCCAGACTCACCGAGAAGGCCCACTGGCCCCGTGGGGAGCTGGGCTCTGCTCCTAGAAGGACAGCACCAGCATGGGACACCAGAGGCCACCAGTTCAACTGGGGACACTCCAGCAGCACAACTGGCTCCAGAGGCCCCAGCACAAGCCGCCCACACACACTGGCCTCTGGGAACTCGGGGTCCCCTTGTACTTCCTCGGAATCACAGCTGAATAAAAAAGGAAGGAAGCCTGGTGGACAGGCACCTGTTCCAGACTCTTCCAGGAATTTCATATTCCTCAACCTGACACACAGGGCCTCTGAGGTCTGTTCCTGACTCCTCGCCTGTCTTACCTCCCCCTTGTCTGTTCTAGACCCCCAACTGGAGCCACGACAAAAACCTAGGGGCTTCTCCATAGGCCTCTCTCTCTGGTGGGAGAGAAAACTCCTGAGGTTGGCCCTCACCTCTTCCTGAAAGGCCTCCTCTCTCCCAACAGGGGCTAGGTACCTCCCCTAGATGCCCCACATCCTCTGTGACTCCAGGACAGCATAAATAAATAACCCAGTGACTGCTTCATCTGTCACCTCTAGCAGAGAGGAAACCTTCAAGAGTAAGACTCATGGGGTGCCCAGGGCCAACCCAATCTGGGAAAGAGTAGTGCTAGGTGGCCATCTTGACTGGGGGCAGCAAAAGCCTTTGGAGCCATGACCAGTGAGGGCAAGGTATGTCCCACTGTAGCTCAGGGGCACCAGCTCAGCCTACCTCTGGTGGGTTCTGCGTGATGAGGCCGTGGCCGCACGGTGCTGATGACAGCCCAGTCGGGTTCATAGCCAGGGTCAAAGGTGGGTTCCTCCTCAGAGGTGCAGGGGTCACCCCCACTTGAGTCCTTGGGAGAAGAGAGGACAGTAGGGGCTATGGATTCAAGGTCACCAGATTGAGGCCTCACTAGAAGGCAGGCCCACTGAACAAAGAGAAAAACAGGCACAAAGAAAGCCCAACGCTTGCTCAGGGACACCAGCACAGCCAAGAATGAGTCAGGATTCGAACGCAAATCTCCCAGTTCAAGTCTCCCAGTATTCCAGGAGATAAATGCCACACAGCAGGCAGCTCTGCAGTGAGACTGCCCCAGACCATGGTGCTTAAGGCAAACTGCAAGTACTCACGCATGCCTAACAGGACGCTGGGACCAAAGACAGCAATGCACGCTGTCAGGGACAGAGAAAATGGAACCCTCATACACTGCTGATGGGGTGTAAGATAGTGCCACTGTGCTGGAAAAGTGAGGCTGGTTCTCAGAAGGTTAAGCAGTGAGCCAGCAATTCCACTCCCACATATATACCCATAAGAAACAAAGCGTGTCCACAGAAGAAGACGAGTGGTCACAGCATCATGGCCCATCACAGCCAACAGGTGGAAACAAACACGAGGAAGCAAAATGTCAAATGTCCACAAGATGTGAAGGCTAAGCACTATTCAGCTTCAAGAAGACATAAAGTAGCCGGACGTGGTGGCACAGGCCTATATTCCCAGCACTCGGGAGTCTGAGACAGGAATCAGCCTGAGCTACAAAGTGAGCTCAAGGGCATCCTGAACTGCAGGGCGAGAGACCCTGTCTCAAAAAGAGCAAAAAAAAAAAAAGAAAAAAGAAAAGAAAAAAAAAGGCATAAAACACTGCACAACTCTGTGAATACACTCAACCATGCACTTTTTTTTTTTTTCACTTGTAAATTTTATTTTGAGACAGTATCTCAGTATACTCCAGGCTGGCCTTGAACTCACTATGTAGCCCAGGCTGGTGTTAAACTCATGGAGATCATGCCTCAGCCTCCAGAATGCTGGGATTATATAAGTATTTTAAACTTTACTATAAAATTAAAATTTTATGCTGAGTGAAATATCTTTTTTGTATTAGTATATGTTTACGACACATACTAAATACATCCATTCTAGGAACCTGGGGATTGTCTTTTTTTTTTTTTTTTTTAGTTTTTTGAGACAGGGTCTTCCCATGCAGTTCAGGCAGGTCTTAAACTCACTATGTAGCCCAGATTGGCCTCAAACTCATGGCAGTCCTCCTGCCTCAGCATCCTAAATGCTGTTATTACAGGTGTGCGCCACCACACCCGACTAATTACATCTCAATAAAGGGAAAGAAGTGGTTTGCTCACAGATTTTTATGAAAATAGCATGAAGTCCCCAGGGTAGGGCTCAGCACACAGTAAGAACCATAAACAGTGGCTGCTGCTATTATTGTTAGCTTGGGAGGGGGACTCAGAAATGGTGCACACGGTAGGACCGCGGTGTTGGTGACAATCCATGAAGAAGGAGAGGAAAGGGACAGTGTGTGAGAACTGTGGAGGAAGGAGCAATCTAGTGAGTAGCCTCAGGCTGACGGCAGCAGACACCCAGAAAGCCACACCTTCCAGCAGCTGCAACCCCCAGGCTGCACTGTCCCTTCGCAGGCTAGCAGAGCGCCCCTCTTTCCTTAAGTGAACGTTTTCAACCCGCCTCACACAGAAAAACAAGTCGAGAGCACAGAGAGGCCCAGGCTCCCAGCCAGGCTTACACACGCCTGCCCCAAGCCACGTCCGCCCTCCTGGGGTCCCTGCCCCTCAACGCCTTAGGGGAGGTGCCTACCTTCTTGGAGAAGAAGATCTGGGTGGCATCTCCAGCTTCCTCCACAGGAGCCCAGTGCAGGAGGACGTCATTGTCCTGAGGGAAGTGGCGAGCCGTCAGTGGGCTCCCCAAACCACCCCAAAGCGTTCCACTGCAATTTCCAAACTCCTGCAGCCTCTACTCAGTTTTCCAAAGCCTCGTCCCTGACCGCAATTCCCACCACATCCTTCTAAGGTCCCAGCGCTGACCTCCAGACAAGACTCCTACAAATACTGCCTCAATCCTGCCGGGGGCCCGCCCCAGCCCTGCTCCCTCCCGGCCCACCTTCTCCACAACACGGATGACGCCCGCGATGAGCGAGTCCGGGTCCTGGTGCTTCCGGGCGCTGGTGTGCAGGTACACGCCTCCCTTCTCGAACACCACCTGTGGGCGGGAGCCAGTCAGGACCCCGCCCGCGGGGGAGGTCACGCGCACGGCGAGGCCGGGGTCGGAGCCAATAGGTGCGCGACAGGGGAGGAGCTATAGCCAGGAGGCGGGGTCTTGGGCTCTTCTCACGCGAGTTAGGGGCGTGGCCGAGCCAACCCTTCTGCCTAGCATTCGGGTGTGGGTGTGCGTCCCAAAGGGGGCGGGGCCAAAGTTCGCTCCCCCTCGCCCGACCATGGAGGGTGACAGCGTGTTTGTAGTAAAACGGTGTTTGCTAAGGTTCTTCCAGGTTCCCAAAGCCTCCGCGCGGCGTGAGGGAAAAGCAAACCGTGGGGCCAAGGCGTATCGTATAGACAGAAGCGAAGGAATGGGTTCTGAGTACTTACCCTGTAGCCGGATCCCTCCATAGCCGCCGCCAAAACACCACTGCCCCGGCCTCCTCCTTTTCCGGGTCAACGTAGTGTCATATCCGGAAAAGATACTCCCCATCAAGGTCAGAAAGTGGTAGCGCCCCTACTATTCTAGATCAAGAGTGGGTGAAACCATCTTTCAGGATAGGGTAGTAGAATCTAAAGAAGCGTTCGAGTCACGTGGCTAGGCCGTGGCTTGCCGGCCGGCGAAAACCACACAAGCGCAGTGGTTGTACTCACCCGACGAAGTAAACAAGTGGGAGGGCCGCAAAGCTCCACCCCTTTGCTCAAGCCCTCCCTGAAACTCCCAGCTCTCCATACTGTATTCTGGCATTGAAGCTATAAAGGTGCCATTTTATTTAAGGGCAGGGCCTTAGCGGGTTGGCCGAGGCCATGTTAATGCGGGGCAGTCCCATCTCCCTGCGGGGCGCGACAGAGAGGTGCTGGAAAAGAGGACCACATAAAGGAAAAGAAGGTGAGAGGAACCCTACATCACAAGAGGTGCTAAAGGGCCCAGAATAACGGGATGAAGCCCTCAGTGCCAAAGAAGCCGTCCCAGGAGAATTGCTGAATACCCGAGAAAAGGAAAAAAAAAAAAAAAAGGCTGAGACACCATTTTGAAGCTGGGCAAATCGAAGCAAGAAATGCCATATTGGATCTTTGCCAGCCTTGGTGCTGGGGAGGGCTCTGAGTGCAGAGTGTAGGAGGGGTAAACGGAAGTGACGCAAGGCGTCGCCATGCCTTTTGAGGGCGGTGACGGCCCCAGACTGGCCATGCTGGCTACGGGCACGTGAGTGGAGGCGGCGTTGTGAACCGCGGTCTGGGGAGGATTTGGCGGCCGGGAGGCCGAGGGGGAGCTGGGAGGGCGAGCGGCTTATGGGAAGAGTACGGCCTACATAGACCAGAGGACAGAGTTTGTGCAGAGGCTCTTGTCTGAGCACTGGCAAGAAGCCTCCCACGGGAACGGTCGTGTCTAGCCCGAGACAAGTCCTACACAGCCTTGTCTTCGGCGACCAGCCCCCCTGGGAGGCTTCCCCTGGCGGTGGACCATGTCCCCGAGGCTGGGGGCCAGTCGCGGGATTCGGGGCTCCCCTTCACCCGTCCAAAGGCGGGACTTCCGGTCCTGGCTCCCACCTGGGCGGGACTTCCTGTTTTCTTCCTGGAGCAGTGGGTCTGCCCTGGACCCCGGGCGCGGTGGGGAGGAGTCTGCGCGGCGGAGCGGGGCCCCCGACGCTCACCCGGCCTCCTGCATGATCGCGTTCTCCACGCCTGCGGGTGAGGGCTGCCTCCAGCTTGACGGCGGGAGGGGGGTCGCTGGCATCCCTCGCCTCGGGGGACTTTGCTCTGTTGTCACCTCCTCCTGGAGCCAGTTTCCTCACTCCGCCTACTCGCGTCCTCACCTTTCTTCCCTCCACTCACCCTAAGGCGCCCTGCCGCGCCCCCGCATCTCTCCCTGTTACACTTATGCACTGAGGTCGGGGCTCCCCCAGACGACAGGACCTGCTCTCAAGGGGAGGGGTCCCGGGGCTCCCTCCCCTAGCTGCTGCCCTGCTGAGTAACTTGAGTGCAGAGTCCCCAGGCCCCGGCAGAGCAGTGCATGTGACGCTTCCCTCCTCCTTTTTGTCCCTGCCTCCTCCGATGGGGGAATCACCACCCACTCGCCCCCCATTTTCCCAGCGTTCAGCCCTGTGGCTACGCCGGTAGTCCTCTGCCCCTGTTCCCGCCATGGCAGGAGCGGCTGGGGCCCAGAAAAGCGGGAGTCCAGGCCCGCACGCCAGGCTGCATGGCCTTGGACCAGTCACCTCCCCGCTGCGAGCCTGGGTTCCCTGCTCACACGGGAGGGAGAGGAGACCCATGGAAGAGACTACGCCTCACGTTGCTGCAGGGTCTAGGGGTCAGGAAAAAACGGTTTCAGCCCCACTCCTGCTCTGCCCCACTCCTGCTGTGTGCCTTCCGCCTAGTGTCTTACGCTCTCTGAGCCTCTCCCCATCTGGGCGAGAAGATCAGCAGGATGGCAGTGAGGATTAAGAACCGGCGGAGTCCCAGCCAGCTGGGCCTGCGTTTGTGACTGTAAAGTGGGGTGACGGCAGCTCCTCCCTCGGGGAGGTGGAGGGTGAATGAGAGGCTGCTCACGCCCCAGCCCTTCCCCGTTTCCAGCTGGCCTGGCCTGCGTGGTCCCTGAGTTCACAGCCCCCAGAGGCAGGAAGTGAGCTGGTGGGGTGGAGCCCTGCACAGGTGCTCAGCAGACCCTAGCTTCCATGACCTTGAGTTACCAAGGGCCTGCAGGTTGAATTTAGGCTCCAGACTCTTCTTGACTTCCTTTTGCTGTGGCCCTGTTAAGCTTGAATACCTCCATGATGGGCAGCTCACTACCCCTTTGGGGAGGCTCCTCAGCTTCCCACAGCCCTGGTTCCACTGCTGTGACAGACAGGTACAGACAGCGAGAGTTAGACAGTGGTCCAGGGTCACACAGCAGGCTGGAGTCAGGGCAGGAAGCGAGCCTCCGGCCTCTTGGCCTTTCTCCCATAGTCTGTGTAGGGGGTAGGCCTGTGCCCGGGACACGGGTTCCTGCACCTGGGGAGCGTACGGTGTGATGGAGCAGGCAGGCAGTGGGATAGCTGCCACTAGCTCAGGTGATGTGAGCTAGGATGGTGGGACGGAGAGCAAAAGGTTCCAGGAGGTGCTCCTCCTGGAAGCTCCTCCCTCGGGGAGGTGGAGGGTGAATGAGAGGCTGCTCCCGGGCTGTCTTTTGCCCTTCTTGTATCCCTGCACCCAGGCTGTTGGGCGACAGACCCACAGTCCTGTCCCAAGCAGCACGTGTTGCCCAGAGAAGGGGAAGTCGTGTCCACACTAGATGAGTGACAGATTGGCAGCTAGTGCAGGACCAGTGACCCAGGTACAGGGACCGCCTTGACCCAGGGGCGTGGCAGGGGGCAGGGTCGGGTCAGATAGAGAGCCGCCCTTGGGCCTTGGGCGGGGTGAGCCAGGAGCTGTCTCCAAAGATGTAGTGCCTGCCACACATACAGCTTAAGATGTCCCAGAAGACAGCTGCCGCTCACGTTGGCCGCATACTTTGTTTAGCCCGTGCAGCTAACTGTCACCCTTTCAGTGTGGGATCAGCGTTGTCACGCAGATTGCTTCTCGGTCATTTCGCCTCTTGCCTGTTTGTACCAAGCGTGCAAACTGTGTATGGCTCGGATGTTCGAAGCACATCCTGAGGACACAGGATAGGCAGGGCCAGGAGGAGACAATGGCTGCAAGAGGACGCACGGCCCTGGGCAGCGGGGAGGAGATGGTAGTGAAGGGTGGCAGCGAACTGTCCTGGCGGGGGGAGCGGCACGTTTGGAGAGGCGCCCGGCTCGGCGGAGTGGAAGCGAGGACTGGGTGTGACACCTAGGGCTGGGTGGGGATGCACCAAGGCCAGACCTCAGCCCCTCTCCTGCTCTGGCCCACAGGGTGCGGATGGCGGCGGGGCGGCCCGAGGAGCTATGGGAGGCCGTGGTGGGGGCCGCCGAGCGCTTCCGGGCCCGGACGGGCACAGAGCTGGTGCTGCTGACCGCCGCGCCGCCACCGCCGCCGCGCCCGGGGCCCTGCGCCTACGCAGCCCATGGCCGAGGGGCCCTGGCTGAGGCCGCCCGCCGCTGCCTCCATGACATCGCCCAGGCTCACAGGGCTGCGGCCGCCGCCCGACCACCCCAACCCCCGCCAATGCCCCAGCCGCCCAGTCCTCCTCCGAGCCCGCCCCGCCCGGCCCTGCCCAGGGAGGAGGAGGAGGAGGAGGAGGAGGAGGATGAGCCGACAGAGACCGAGACCTCCGGGGAGCGGCTGGGCGGCAGTGATAACGGAGGTGAGAGGCACCGGGCAGGGGCGGGGTGGCCTCCCCGGGGGGCAGGACTGTTGCTCTCGGCCTTGAGGTCCCATGGGCACCCAGTCCCCAGCCTGGCGGCCAGACAGGAGCATTGGGTGGAGCTCAGAATGCGCTCAGGCTTCTCGCTGAGGGGTCCCGGTCTGGCTGGGAGTTGGTGGCCCGGCATCGCTCATGGGGATCGTAGGGCCAGGGTAGGAGTTGAGGAGTCACCGGGGATGTGGGCAACGACTGAAGAAGCTGAGGCCTTCGGGGGGTGTGGGGACTGCACATCCGTGGAGCAGGGGGCTCAGAGACGAGGGAGCAGCAAGGTGTTTGGGCGGAATTTGGAGGCTGGACACTTCCCGAAGGCTAGGCACCAGGGCTTTGAGAGTTGAGTAGAGTTTGCAGGGGCCTTGATAGTAAGAGTTCCTCATCTGTTGTTCTTACCAACAGCTGGTTGCCTCAGCGTTGTTGCAGAAAACTCCCCAAGCAGGAAGGGCACAGACTCTGGGTTCGAATCCTGGTGCTAAGTACTTACTAGCTGGGGACCTGGGGCAAGTGACAGGACCCATACTGGCCTTCGGGCCTCCGTTTGTCAGGTGGGATCACAATCGCACCCCGCTTCTCTCTGCCTCTGTGTGGAGTCCCAGTGTCCCAAGCAGACGTCCAGGAGTGTGCTCCAGAGGGTGTGGCAGGTGACAGAAGCTAGTGGCACGAAGCGAGGGGAAGGGTGTTTGAGGCAGAGGCTCTGGGTAGGCAGTGGCGGTGCCTGGCGTCGGGCGCCTAAGCAGCTGGGGCTTTGATGCCACCCGCAGGGCTCTTCATGATGGACGAGGACGCCACTCTCCAGGACCTGCCCCCCTTCTGTGAGTCGGACCCTGAGAGCACAGACGGTGAGTGGCCCAGGCTGGCGCTGCCCGCGGGAGCTGGGACGAGTTCGGGGACAGAGGCTGAAGACCCCCTTCCCTCACAGACGGCAGCCTGAGCGAGGAGGCCCCCGCCGGCCCCCCAGCCTGTTCTCTGCCCCCCGCCTCGGCCCTGCCCACGCAGCAGTACGCCAAGTCCCTGCCCGTGTCTGTGCCCGTCTGGGCCTTCAAGGAGAAGAGGAGCGAGGCGCGGTCGTCAGATGAGGAGAACGGACAGGTGAGGGGGGCTCAGAGCCGCCGCTGCCAGGATCCCTAAGTTCTGCTTTCACCCCTGATCTGACTTTTTGGGGGATTAAGAGGAATTGAACCCAGGGCCGTTTGCATACTTGGTAAGTGATCCGCCACTGAGCTCCATCCCCACTCCTTTTTTATTTTTTGTCTTTGAGACAAAGTGGCTCAGGCTGGCCTCAGATTTCAGATCATCCTGCCTCAGCCTTCCAAGTAGCTGGGACTTCAGGTGTGGACCACTATGCCTGGCCTGTTAAGCTGATTGAATCCTCCCCTCAACCTGGAGAGGCAAGTGCTAGGCCCAGAGGCCTGCGCTTTTACCTCCTACAGCACTAGTTCCGGGCCTTGAGGGAAGGCCTCTCCTCTGCGGAAGCAGCTCCATTTGCCAGACATGTGCTCTGGCCCAGGCACAGGTATTTTAGCACTCCCTCCAGATGGGGAAACTGAGGCTCGGGTCACCACATATGTTCCTGGTTCCACCTGGTATCCTCTGTTCAGCCCACGCAGTGCCCTATATGGAGTTCCTGGCCTGGCCTTGCTGCCCATCCCTGAATTCCCTGAAGCCAAAGGAAATTGAGGCACTCAGAGGCCCCATGAGTTTCCGGAGTGTGGGCCTACAAGGGGCAGAGCTGGAACTGGAACCCAGTGCCCTTCGGAGAAGGAGCTGTGGGCTTCAAAGGAAGAAGCCTGCGAGCCCAGCATCTCCCTAAAGCTGCAGTGTTCTTCCTGGAGCCTCAGTGATCAGGGCCAGGCGCGGGGTGCTCTCCTACAGTCCCAGCACTCAGGAGGCTGAGGCAGGAGCATCACTGGGTTTAAGACCAGCCTACATATCGAGACCCTACCTTGTAAAACAACCACCAAAAAAAAGGCTAGGGATAGAATTTAGTGTGGAGGCTCTGGGTTCAGAAAACAAAAACAGCGGCCCCACAGGCTGCAAGAGGACCCACCAGGCCGCAGCCGCTCTTGTTAATACAGTGAAGCGGATTTCAGCTTCCTGGTGGGGCCTGGGCCACTCTCCTCACTCTCCTGCTTCAGGGCAGGGGCCGACTGGAGGTGGCAGGAGGCCGCATGAGGAGTCGTCTTTTCTGTGCCACGGAGCCACCTTGCCCAGCAGTCTATGGCCATGGTTTCATCTCCGCCCTCACAGGGCCTCTGAGCCCTGTGTTTCAGGAGAGGTGGAGGCCCAGGAGGCAGACTCCTCTTGACAGCTACTTGGTGGCAGAGGTCTGATTGGAACATGAGAGGGCCCCTGGCCCAAATCCTCAGGAGACCCCTGGGTGTGTTCAGCCTGAGGGGCAACAGAGGACAGCGCTTGTGCTGCGGGACCCAGGCCAGGAAGCCTGCCTGGAGGAGGTGGCATCGGAGTCTGTGGGAGAAGGGCATGGCTGGCACAGGGCGCCGCAGGGTGTGGGAGGTGGCAAGATGCTGGCGCCGCAGGTCTGACGCTTCGGTCGTGGTCCCCGCAGCCCTCCTCGCCCGACCTGGACCGCATCGCGGCGAGCATGCGCGCGCTAGTGCTGCGGGAGGCCGAGGACACCCAGGTCTTCGGGGACCTGCCTCGACCGCGGCTCAACACCAGCGACTTCCAGAAGCTGAAGCGGAAATACTGAGGCCCGGAGACGGCGTCCCGGCCGCGTCCGCCCGCCCCACACTACGCCCCCGCCCCGCCCCCGAAGCCCGCCAATCCGCGGGCCTGGCCGGGCCCAGCCGGTCCCCCGCCTTTCGGGCCCACGGCCTCCTGTTCCAGGGTGCGAGATCTGTCCAGCCCGCCGGTTGGGTCTCTCGCCCTTTTCTTTACCCAACGACAGATTCTTTAAGGACCCTGAGTCGCACTCTGGACGGGAGCGTGGCTAGTTCTAAACCCGTAATGGATCAATTCCGTCGTTTTTCTGCCTAGCGACAAAGTCTGTTGCTCGGCATTGGCTTCTTCCCCGAAAGAGTACAGCAAAGCTCCAGGATTGGGTAGTGGCCTCCACTTTAGCCTAGTGACTGGGCAGCGCTTTCATTTGATTGGCTTGAATCCAGTCAAAGGGCTCTATCAATCTCCGGGGAGTTACCCTCCGCCCTCTCTGACTCCTACTTACTGATTGGCTACACCTTCGGGGTGTGGTCAAGCTGCCCCTGCCCTCGGATCCTCCCTCCTGATTGGCTGCAGCCTTTGGGGGGCGTGGTCAAGCTCTCGTACCCAGAATCAGGCTGAGGCTTTCAGTTTGCTGGGTTTTTTTTACACTACTGGGGCTGGGCTCGTTTTTTTGGCCAAGTCCTGACTATTGTACCCCTGGCCCCCTCAGGGACCGCTCAGTCCTGTCCCTGCGTCCACAACCCCCACTGGTTCCATCCCACAAGAGCCTGCCAATCGAAGCCCGTCCTTTTATCCAGGACGGTACCAGCTCCCGCCCCTCTCCCCCACCCTCACAGGTGCCTTAAAGGCCCCTTGTCCACCCAAGGTGGGGGACAGGGAGCCTCACTCTCCGGCCCTGGTGTGGGGGAGAGAGTGGGAGGATTGGGAGTTAGGAGGGGCGCTGAGATTAAAAGAGTTTGATAAATGTGAGTTGTGGGTGTTCATTCAACATTTTCTGAAGCCAAACAGCATTTCATCGATTCTTGGTACAAAGCTGAGAGTTGGAATTATTGTCTCCATTTTTTGTTTTTTAGGTTTTTTGGGGGGGTTGTTTTGTTTTTTGGTCTTTCTGAGACAGGGTCTCGCTATTCAGTTCAGGTTGGCCTTGAGCTCACTTTGTAGCCCAGGCTGGTCTCGAACTAGCAACGATCCTCCTGCCTCAGCCTCCAAAGTGCTAGGATTACAGGTGTGCACCACCAGTCCCGGCTGTTTTTTAATTTTTTGAGACTGGGTCTCGCTGTGTGGTCCAGGCTGGCTTTGAACTCGTGGCGATTCTCCTGCCTCAGCCTGTTGGTATTAACTGTAGTCACAGGTCCCGAGAACGAGGCGCCCGCGGATGAAAAGGTGAAAGAGATAAGAAAAACAGGAGAGGCCAAAGTCTGGGATGGGATGGCATGAGCTTCTAGGACTGCAGCCTCGATCAAGCCTCTCAATCGCCTTTTATTCAAACCGAGCACGTAACTCAGACCAACAGGAGAAATTCATTATCCCTTTCCATTTCTGCCTCTCAGCTGACGGTAACCATCCTCGGGCGAGCCTCCCATACCCCGCACCAGGGGCCCTCAGTACGGCTGGGGATCGTAAGCCGACCATCAGTAATCGGTTCATTAACAATCACAGGTCTTTCCCCACATCAGCCTGCCTGCAAGTGTTGGGATTACAGGTGTGCGGCCATGCCCCCATTTTATAGATAAGAAAATAGAGGGTTCCTGGAGCCGAAGAGAACTCTAGTTCGGTATGACCGTGAAGCTCTAATCTTCAGGTGGATGAATGTTGGAATTGGAATCGTCCTTAAGAAATTGGCTCCGGAGCCAAGGTTCTCCGGCAAAGCGAGGAACCCCCAGCAGGTGGTGCCTGGCTGAAAATTAGAACGAGGCCAAGGTGAAATCACCGTTTCCTGTCAGTCCACCACCGGATTTAAACGGGCTGACATCATAACACCTAGATAAGCTAAATTTACATGTGTGTGCTCTATATCTCCTGTTAACCTCAAGAAGTGGAAATCGTTATCTCTACTTTATAGATGAGAAAACCGCAGCATCGAGAGTACAAAAAAGAGCGATTGGGGCTGGGGATTTAGCTCAGCGGCAAAAGCGCCTGCCTGGTAAGCGCAAGGTCGTGAGTTCGGTTCCCGGTACCGGAGAAAAACCAAAAAAAAAAAAAAAAAAGAACGATTGAGTGCTAGGGGGCAGGCGGACAGTGGGTTTCCTCAGCTGGGCATGATCGGCTAATGGGAAAAAAGTTCCCCAGGGGGAGGGTCCGCTTCGCCCCCTACTGGCCTAAACTTCATGTCGCAGCAAGAAGGGTAATAGCCAGAACCGCAGCGGAACCCTAAGTACCCAAAGCTGAGTCAGAGGGCTGCTGCGTGGGCGGAGCCAAAGCCCCGCTTGCCTCCCTAGAACAAGTCACTTCTGTCCGCGAGCAGACTCGGGGGAAGACTGCCACGGGGAGGACCTTCCTAACTATCACAAATCTCCCTGGTTGGAGTGGCGGACGCAGCTGAGCTAGGATGAAAGCAACTCGCGAAACTCTTGGCCTTGCCGGTGGAGGTAGGGACCCCCTCATTGGCTGAAGGCTGGAGGCGTCGTCGCCTAGGAAACAGCGCCTCAGACCGGAGAGGAGGCGGGATTTCCGGGAGCCATAAATGGGAGGCGGGACTTCCTAATGGCATGAGTGGAAGGAGGTGGGACTTCCTGTCAGCAGCCGGTGCTCCTTGTTGCTCAGGCTAACGCATTTGCTTCTCCCTAGGTCGGCAACAGGATGGCCCAGGTGGAGGCCCAGGGCCGCCTGTGGTTGGAAAGCCCTGCTGGGGGAGCGCCTCCCATCTTCCTTCCCTCGGACGGGCAAACTGTTGTCCTGGGCCGGGGACCCCTGACCCAGGTCACGGACCGGAAGTGCTCCAGGAACCAAGGTGGGTGCGAGCGGAATCTGCTCCGGAAGCGGGAACGAAGCCGGTGGGAAACGTGCAGTTATCCAGGAAGGGAATTGCGTGGTGCAGCCAGGCCTGACGTTGAGAGGTAGTTTCTCCGTGGGGAGAACAGGAAGAACTAGGAACTGGGAACTAGCCAAGTCCTTGGGGGATGCAGCCATTCCTCGGAAAATTGTTTCTGGGCTGAGGGAGATGCTCACAGGCCTTCTGCAGGCCCGAAACAGGCCACCAGCCTCGCAAGGAGAGGGTCCTTTGGAGGAACGAAAATGTTAGGTAGGATGGACCATACCAGGACAAGCCCAGGATCTGCATCTATCCATACTTTGTCTGAGATGCTACCGATTCAGTAGATGCAAACAAGTATTCGTTCTGGGGCTGGGGATGTGGCTTCAGGATTGAGCCTTTCCCTAGCCTGCCCGAGGTCCTGGGTTCAACCAACATCCCCCCGGGCGCTGGGCTCAGTCCCTAGGCAATCTTAGGGACTATGGCTACTGCACGTCAAAGTGCCAATCCCATTTAGAAATATGCTGTTTAAGCTGGGCGTGGCGGTGCACGCCTGCAATCCCAACACTCGGGAGGCTGAAGCAGGAGGGTGGCTGCGAGTTCCAGACCTGCCTGAGCTACAAAGTGAGTTCAAGGCCAGCCTGAAATGCATAATGAAACCCTGTCTAAAAAAGATTTAGAAAAGAAAGAAAGAAAATGCTGCTTCCTACTTCCTGCTCCCTCCGGAGTAGATGGTGTAAGCCCCATTTTGTGGCCTGAAACTGGCCACACAGCGCAGCAGTGAGGAAAGCAGTCACATAGATGCAAATCCTGACTTCACTCCCTCACTCCCCAGTGGAACTGGTTGCAGACCCCGAGACACGGACGGTAGCAGTGAAACAGGTACCAGGGCTTCAGCGAGGGCCAGCAAGGCCTGGGGGTGGGATGGGGAGGAATCCACACCAGTAGGGAACATTAAAAACGTCTCATTAGGCTGTGCGCAGCGGTGTACAAACTAGCTAGAGGCCGAGGCAGGCAAGTTCGAGGCCAGCCTGGACAATTTAGCAAGACATCAAAAATTTGTAAAGGGTAGGGGCTGGGCATGGTGGTGCAGGTCTGTAATCTCAGCATGAGGCTGAGGTAGGGGGATCACCATGAATTCGAGGCCAGCTTGGGCTACATAGGGAGTTCAAGGCCAGCTTCAACTGCATAGTGAGACCCTGACTCCAAAAAAATAAAGGCTAACCAGGGCTGGAGTGTTTGCCTATGAGCAAGGCTCTGTGTTCAATCCCCAGTACCGGAAAAGAAACAAAAAACACCTGATTGGCTGGGAGAGAGGGGGTGTGCCTAAGTAAAGAAACCTTCCCCTACTTAAGTATTGTGTCCATTGTCCTGTTTCAACTGGGCGAGACTGGAATCCCGTAGCCTTTCCAAATCCCTGATTGACAGTACACAGTAAAGAGGTGGGGTTTAGGGGTCTGATTGGTAGGTTTAAGAAAGGCAAGTCTTGCCTCCTGGTATTTGATTGGAGGAGATTCCCGTGAGGGTGGAGCCAGTCCCAGCTCCTTCTTTCTCTGCAGCTGGGCGTTAACCCTTCTACTGCTGGGACCCAGGAGTTAAAGCCCGGGTTGGAGGGCTCTCTGGGGGTGGGGGACACACTGTATTTGGTCAATGGCCTCCACCCACTGACCCTACGCTGGGAAGAGACGCCCACACCAGGATCGCAGCCGGACACTCCGCCTGGCACCCCTCCACTGGCCCCGCACGAGGAAAGCGAGGAGGATGCCGAGCAGCAGCAGAAGAGGATGCGGAAGTCATCCCCTGGCTGGGAGAACTTGGAGAAGCTGCTGGTGTTCACAGCACCGGGGGTGAAGCCCCGGGGCAAGGTGAGGGCCCTGGCAAAGCACTAGAACAGAATGCAGAGCCAGTCAGACTCCTGGAAAGCACGCAGTCTAGTCCCTGGCGGTCAGTCAGCTCCCACAACAGCTGTTTCTGTCTTTATTTTTGTGATCATAAAACTCTGATCAGAAAAGATGATCGGGCTGGGGCGGTGTAAGATACTCATACCCATTTTAAAGATGGGAAAATGAAGGGCAGAGACGCAGGTGTGGCGAGTGGTCTGTGGTCAGAGGTGTCTGGTGCGTTCCCGCTGTGCCACCTCCTTCCATGCAACACGAGGCCCAGTGACTCAGTTTCCCCATCTTGACGCTCAGGGTGGGCCCTGCCTCACAGAATCAGTGTGCACGTGCCTCTGCGTGGGCAGAGGTGTCAGTGCTGCTCTTCCGTGTTCTCACGACCTCAGGTGGCTGCCTTTGATCTAGATGGGACCCTCATCACCACCCAATCTGGGAAGGTCTTTCCCACGGGCCCCAGAGACTGGAGGTGAGGAGGGGCGGGGACAGGAGTGAGTGGCAGCTGGAGTCGCCGGGGCCCTGCTCACCGCCACTTCCACCGCCCTAGGATCTTGTACCCAGAGGTTCCCAGGAGGCTCCAGCAGCTGGACACTGAGGGCTACAAGGTGTGTGCGCTTGGTGCCCACCCATGTGCACGTAGGGGATACTCTGCCAGGCCCTGCTGAGCAGGCCCGGGTGACTCCGTGTGCTCCGCAGCTGGTAATCTTCACGAATCAGATGGCCATCGGGCGAGGGAAGCTGCGAGCAGAGGACTTCAAGGCCAAGGTGGAGGCGGTAGTGGAAAAGCTGGGCGTCCCCTTGCAGGTAGGGCTGAGGGGCGGCTCCGGGGCGCTGCCCAGGGCGAGCGCGAGAGGGGCCGGGACAGTGTGTGACCCGACCCCACGCGCAGGTGCTAGTGTCCACACACGCGGGCCTGTGCCGGAAGCCGCTGACGGGCATGTGGGAGCATCTGCAGGAGCGGGTAAGCCCCCGTCCGCCCACCTCCACGCCCGGTCCCGCGCTCTGCGGCTCGCACGTCCCGGTGTGGGCACGCGAAGGCAGGGCTCGCGGTCTTTGTTCTCAGGCCCGCGAACGCTTTGAGCCAGAAGCCTCGCTCGCCCGGCGGTGCGCAGGCGCCGTGAGCACGGCCGGCCTCAGTGTGCGGCGGCGGTGCCCGGGAGGAAGGCCGGGGAAG